CTTATATCTCTTATATGTGGGATTCTCTTAGCATTTAGTTTGTTATCTTGTTTGTTTGTTAGATATTTGGTTAGTTTTATTTCTTCTATAAATAGAGTAGGTTGCATTGTATTTTCCTCAAGTTGAATGGAATGAATTTTCATCTGCTTCCCTGCATTTAGCAGGCTCTATCCTTTTCTCCTCTATTTTTTCGTTCTGTTTTTCCCAGTACTTCAATTCGTTTTCTACCTTCCTTGATTTTATCATAAAGAATACCAAATTGATCAAGGAGAAAACTCTTCACAAAGGATAAAAAATTCCATCCATCTGACCTTATTTTTCTGTAGTCACCATTGATCCTACTGGGCCGTGTGATCCTCACACTAGATTTCTCCTGGTATATCACATTGGCCTGAACTACATACTCCTCACACCAGCTCCCGATCCTTGATATATTACCTTAGCCTCCTGAACTGCATGTTTCTACATTAACTCTGGATCCTTGATATCGTTTATCTTCGGTGGATTAGGTGGTTTGGTGTTTGATCAAAAAACCTTGTGTGTTTTGACCTGTGGCTTAATGTGAAACAATAGGGCTTGATCAACAAAATATGTTTTGGAAGAATTATCGATCAAGTAATATGTGGTAGTTGAATTATGGAATCAACAAATGTTTTGAATCATCAAATAATTCAACACACATTGGGACGTTCATGGGGTTGTATGTGTATAATGAAGTTTAGGATGACAAGAAACTCAAAATTAGCTTGAACATCGAATATTAATGTTTCTTGGATAACCATTTCGCTCGAGCGCTAAGCCAACTCTAGGAAAGCGACGGCTGAGCAGTCATTAGTATTTTTATCCTCACTTTCTCTCCTCATATTCGATTGAGATGATTCAAAGTGCGTTGTAAATATAATTCAAAGGGTTACAATTCTTCAAGAATAGCATTCTCCAAATTCGAATGTTTCTATATGAAAAATGTGTTACAACTTGTGTCTGGGAATTTGGAGTATGATTTGTGCAACACTTTTACACTTATTTGACTTTTAATTTTATTCCAAAGATTATATGTGATCTTCATGGACATATTGGACTCCTTCAAGACCTATACTACTAATCATAATTCTTTTGCTATAATTAAGACTTAATAACTCATATTTTGACTTTAATTACAACTTGATAAATTCCTAATGCAGTTCAATTAGGATATGATTTTGACTAATTGTCAAATGCAAATTAGACTTTACATCTGTCACGGATCAAAGACTTTTTAAGCTTTTCAACAGCATGTTCACCATAAGCCTCATCTTCCCTTTTGGGACGAAAGTTTTTCCCCATTTTCTTTCGTAGAGGTTTGCTATGGCTACTCTTTATTTGATTTGTTACATGATCATCATTTCCATTATCATAATGGTGATGGTGATGTAATTGAAATATAATTGCTAGTCTATCTTATTGGAACAAATTCTAGAACAAATGTTAGAAAAGATTATCACTTTAATGGACAATTTTCATAAAAAACGAAATCAAACGGACACCAAATTTTCAACATTTTCAAGGTGGAAATTATACAATCTCTACCATTTTCCACTTTGTTTCCGGTGGTTCATCATTCGAGCTGATTTTTGGATTTTTATAGGACCTATTCTTCTTTTTTGTGGACTTCATAGGCGAGTATGAGGATCCTCTGTGGCAACAAATTGGCTGATCATATGATGAGTTCCCCTCACTATTGCGTCTACTATCGGAAGTCACTCGATCAGTTCCGGCACTACTCACGAAAGAGTAAACCTTGTTGACCTCGATTTTCGTTGGGTGGACGTGGTCGATAGATTCTGTTCCTCTCATGTCTACGTAACTCTTCCTACACATTTAGACGAATCGTTTGAACTTACATAAATTTTAAAAAATATATTCTGAAGAAATAAAATTCTATAAAATATAAATTGTAAATATATATTAAAAAAAACAGTTCAAGTTTTAAATGATTATTTACATAAAATTAAAAAAAAATAACATATTTAATGAACATAGATTAAAAAAAAAAAAAAAAATTGACATGTCAGTAATTTTTATTTTTTATTTCATATGTTTTTACAACTCAATTCATGATTTTTATTTTTGTTATTGTAAAATTTACCAACTTTAAAATGTATATATTACTTGATATATATTAATATAAAATTATTCTATTTTACTGAATAATCAAATTCATGAAATAAAATATCATGAAATAATTTCTCAAAATTCAAATCACCAAATGAATAGTATTTGAGATAAGTTTTGCACCATTTTACACTAAATTTTACAATCATCTCCAACCATTACACCAAAACTTACACCAAATGAATAGTATTTAATCATTTTATTCTCTTGTTCATTTATTTTACAAATACATAAATTACTAAATAAATAATTATGTTAAATTAACGAAAATTTATTTTAAGTTTTTTTTTTTTTTGTGTAGTAATTTTAATTAATTCATTAATTATTATTTTTTACATTATTAAAATTTATTTTAAATGCAAATAATAATAATATCAATCATAATAAAAATTATAACAATAAAAATTTATAATATTAAAAAATATATAAAATAAATGACACAAATACCCTCCATCAATTAGTTTGGTACATTGAAAAAAGGGTAAATTTGACTTTGCACCATTTTACTCTAAATTGGTGCAAACTTTGATGCCACACTGGAGAGCTTTTGCACTAAAATTTTGAAAAAATGTTATTCATCCCCAATGGGGATGCATCCCCAGTTTATGTGGATGTAAATAATTGGTTAGATGATAGGTGAAATTAAATGACTTATTTAATTTCACCTATCATTTAACGTCACATAGACTGGGCATCCTCAGTGGGGATGAATAGCATTTCTCAAAATTTTGTGTATGTTTGTGTTTGATGCTAGCTTTGGAGATGCTGTAACATTCTTTATATCTGAACATGGGAATAAGAGAATATAAGATAAATGCAAATTGAATTCAAGCAGTGACTTCCCGACCAGTTTAACATTATTGCTAACCATAATAGTACGAGGTTTATCTAAATTCCTTTAATAGCACATGGAGACAGTTAAATTAGTCGATGTTTCGTAAATAAATAATTAACTTATAATTTTCACTCAAACATTCATTTCAATCAAACATTTATAATAATTATTGTTTTTTATTCACACATTTCAGGTACTCGACTCAAACTTTCAATATGTCCACAATTTAAAATATGAGACTGTGAACTGAAAATACATTGATGGAGTGTTTTGTAAAGTTGATTAGATAATAGAAACAAAGTATTAAACAATAACGTTATGGTTAAAATTGAAAAATGCATATTCAAGTGTAAAATAATAAAGCGGAGATATTTGACTGTAAATCTCTTTTGTACACAGGTGCTTGACAAGATATACGGACCCTTGTCGCTCAATATATTCTTCCAAATTAATATAACACAGTATTAAACTTGTAGGGCACACCAAATTTGATTGTAGTCTTTTCGACCATAGTACAACAATTGGACAACATTGAAGAGAGAGAAGGGTTTACAAATCATTTGTTCCCGAATTCTTTTGGAATGCTCGAATCAAAGGAAGGGTTCCTATTAATAGGATTTTTAATGTCTCTTTTGAATTGTAGCATCTTTTGACATATATCGACCTATATTGTTACAGTGTGATATCAAAATCGGTATAGATCGTAACCCAATTGAAATGGTCTATGACTCTTCTAGTGTCCAGATAGGGCTAGTCACACGCCTAGGTCCATGTCACCAATGCACCGTTTGCGACGTGGCGTCTAGCGTAGGGTGTATTTAGAAGAGTTGTACCCAATTTACAAATTAAGGAAGGGGATTCCAATTTGTTATTAAAAATCATTTAATTGTCCTATTTAAATTAAGAGACGTGCACAACACTGCTAACCTTATTCAATGCAACAATCAGAATATTTACTAATCGGTCGTCCCTTTCACAGTAAGCAAATCTGGTACTAAACTGCATGTGAGAGTCGAGTACCTCATGTTTCTCGACCACATCCTATGAGCCGACCAACAAAGTGCAAACAAAGTTACAATTCGTCAAGGTTTAATTAATTTTACGACACTGTTCTGATTTAGCATAAGTTCTTGAGCACTTTTCTTTGCAAATCTATCAAACCCCATAAAGTAGTTCGACCAGTGATTTGTAGACGTCTTTGTCTTCACTCGACTCCAAAAGATGAATGAAGACAATTTATATTGTCATAGTACTCTTTTTCTTTTTCTTTTTCAATTCGTATTATTCCTCTGCTGCTTCTATTCCCATTCTGCTGACACAGATCTTCGGTGGTATTAGTTACGGCCTAAGCACGACGAAACATGCATGTGAAAGAGAGAAATGTGCTTCTTCTTCTTTCTTTCTTTGTTGTAGTTGCGGGGTATTTTGTGGATTTTGAAAGATACATCACGAGTAGGTCGTGGTTACTTTTCAGGCTTTTTTGAGATATTTTTCACCTTTAATTAATTAGAGTGTTTAATTCTAAATTTCACGGAGAAAATGTGGCCTCCTCTTTCTCCCTCCTTCTCTGTCTCATAGTTATGGGGAATTGAAAGGTGCCCATCAGATTAGTTGTACGAAGTTTCTCCTTTCCAAAATGAATTCGCTTTCATTTGGGGGCTTCAAAAAGTTCCAACTGTTTCTTGAAATTTGGTTGGTAGAGGACTGAATTCTAAGCAAAGATTGATGTTTTACCAGAAATTTTCTCCTCCCCATTCTCTTAAATTGATAGTTGATCTTGTTGAGAGAAAAATAATAATCATTTTGGGCCCTTTTTTCTAATAGGGTGATTTGAATTTGGGTTTTTGTCATGATTTTATATTTGGGTTTGATTTATATGTCGATATGTTTGTAAATTACAGCATATTAGATGGGTTGTTCAAAACTATGTTGAGTTGGGATTATGTGTTTAGGCTTTTGTGCATTCCTAAAACTCCATTGATATTGATGTAATTGTGGTTGCTGAACTGAGGCTGAAAATACAGATGAAGAGCGTGTAAGAAATGTATGATTATTGATGTGTCCATTAGATGGACCGGAGGAGTTGGCTTTGGCGCCGGAAGTCGTCTGAGAAAAGTCCCAATGGTGAAACAGAAAGCTCAGGATCAATAACATATCATTCAGAAAGATTTTCTGATGATCAGGTTTGTTTGTTTCAGCTTGATCTTGTAAATTCTTCCATTATTTGCCTTCTAGTTTCTGTCTTAATTTCTATGAATTTTGACCAATTTGTTCAATATATATGTTACCTTTTACTAAGTTTTTATATGCAAGTGTATGTTTTCAGAGTGTTATCTTTTGTATTCTCTTCGACTTTTGTTATTTTTTTAACTGGCAACATTCCCTTCTCAATGAATTTAAAGGAGAAGATAAGGTTATGCCGCTAAGGCTTGCAGTTTCTCCGTGAAATATATCTTTTATGAAAGATAAAGAAGACTAATCCCGAACTGAACTTGCTCTTAGTGAACATTTTCCCCAAAATCAAATTTATGGCTTTTCCTTGGACCTTGAGCCATTCTGGAAATTGATCTTGTAACAAGACAGGTTCCTTTGATTTATGTATATATTAAGCCCCTTGTTTGACAGCCATTTTTTTGGAAGGAGGAGTTTTTGAATAGTAAATTTTTGGAGAATATGTGGTTAAAAAGTAGGAAAAAGTTTTGGTTTACGTAAATAATATTTATTGTGAGAAAGTATGATTGAAAATGAGCACGAGAAAAAAAGAGTTTCGAAAGAATGGTTACCAAATAGGGGCTATAAAATAGCCAGTTATGGCTGTTTCCAAAAGAAGTGGTCGGCTTTGGGCCAATGACGCTCAAGAAGGCTCGACTACATGAAGTTGTTTCAGGCCCAAGGGCACAGACTGGAACAACAAAGAACTAGATTTTAGCTTCTTTTTGTTTCTCCCTTAATCCATCTAACCAAACATGCCCATTAAGGTCGCATTCATAATTGGAATTCTGAATAATAAAATTATTAAGCTCGTGAGTCTTGTTTGCCGTAGAAAGTTGTGTAATCTAGATTGATTGTTGGCATTCTACTTAGATACTCAGTGACTTGTCTATGGATAAAATGGACCACTTTGTTTTGGATATCCACTGTAGTTGGACCACCGTGGACAGCATCTTGCTTTATTTCTCTGGAAAGCATCCTGTCCAGCTACCATCATTGACATCTACCTTCAATTATTAACACAATGTGAGGTTCTAAACTTCTTCACATTATTGTGAGCCGTGAGGGATATGTGTCTGTGTGTGAACCTATGTATAAACTCGGAAGTGTTTTTTTTTTTTTTGTCAAATAGAAATTGAACTTCATAACTGGGGTCCATTATTCAACTTACTAGTCGTCATCAAGTTTCGTGATTCTAAAAAGGAAATTTAATATTGTTTCTATTTTCGTCGAATTATTTTGGTTCTTGCTGCGAAGACTTGATGAAAAGGCTTTATTAGTGGTCGGTCACATGCATAAGTCTCCATGACCTGAATGGTGAAATTTCTTGGAATGTCCACTCACGCTGTTCGAGATATAAACTGAATTAGAACCAGCAAGTTGAAATAAGTAAGTCACCAATTCCACCTCAATTCCACCTTGACTTATCAGTGAAATAATGCATGCAAAGCAGAGAATTAAAAAGATTGAAAACTTTTGGAGTAACTTACCTGTATTTGAAGCCAATTTTACTTGATGAAAACTTTTGCAGTAACTTACCTGTATTTGAAGCCAATTTTACTTGACTATGTCGTTGTTGAACTATTAATATGGCCTTCAATCCATTACATTAATTGATCTACTCTCTCTCTCTCTCTCACACACACAAACACATGCGCGCGCATGTCCATCCATGCATGAAGTGTGGTGTATGATTTACAGTCTTATTTTGTAACTTCCTCTTCCTCTCTTCGAAGGTTCCCACCAAAATAAAATAAAATTTAGAAGTTATAAAATAAAAAAAGGGATGATTGGGAGAAGAGATGAGGAATTTTGACAATTGATGATGTTTGGTATTGTAAAGGCATCATCAAATCAAAGTACTCACTCACCAGAAGTAGTATCTAAAGCTGCATCCAGCGATGAAGAACTTAATGAAAGTGTGAAGACTTTATCCGAGAAATTATCAGAAGCTCTTCGAAACATTCGTGCAAAGGAGGACTTGGTAAAGCAGCATGCCAAAGTTGCAGAGGAAGCTGTCTCAGGTATTTATTCACTCTCTTTGTGTGTGCCAGCGTGTTGAACCATATGCGGAAGGCAGCTTGTCAATGAAACTTCTAATTATCCTCAACAAGTTTATACTTGTGATCCTATGAAGTGAGAATTATATTTTATGAGTTTTATTATCCTCAAAGGGACACGTTGCAATTAAGTAATTGGTGGGAGGGTAGTTTTTCGCATTGTACTTGCTCCCTTTGGGTATGTTATTCTTAGATTTCCGTACTCTATTTTCTTACATGTTGACCAATGGGGAGATTTTTCTGTTATAAAAAATCAAATTATTTGGAATACCAGATTTTATCTACCATGATGCATTTCAGGGCCTTTTTGTAGATCAAGTCACATCAAATTTTCCAGATGAGGCTATTCTTTGTATATATTTAATTTTTATGTTTATTTGAACTTAAATACTAGGATGGGAGAGAGCTGAAAATGAAGTGTTAGTTCTGAAGAAACAAACTGAGGTCTTAACTCAGAAAAACTCAGTCCTTGAAGAACGCGCTGGACAGCTTGATGAAGCCCTTAGGGAGTGTTTGAGACAACTTCGACAGGCAAGAGAAGAGCAAGAACAAAAGATTTATGATGGTGTTTCTCATAGAAGTTGTGAATGGGAATCGACAGAGTCGGAACTTGAAAACCAACTTGTCGAACTCCGTTCTCAGCTTCAAAATGCGAAAACAGATGTCGTTAAGCTTGAAGCCATGGAGAAAGAGAACACAATCCTTAAGCATGAGCTCCACTCCCAAGCTGAAGAACTGAAACTGATGACTCGTGAGAGGGACTTAAGCACCCGTGCTGCAGAAACTGCTAGTAAACAGCATCTTGACAGCATAAAAAAGACAGCAAAGCTTGAGGCAGAGTGTTGCAGGCTAAAGGCAGTGGCTCGCAAAACATTGCCTGCAAACGATCTCTATTCTGTTACTTCATCAACAGTTTATGTAGAATCTATTGCAGATAGTCAGACTGATAGTGGAGATAGGCTATTGGTTATTGACAATTGCAAGATAAAAGGATTGGAACCGGTCGACCGCTGGTTTTGCCACCCTGAATCGCGGGTTTTAGTGGCAGAGAGAGATCAATTTAAGAATGACAGAACTCTGGGAAGAAATCATATTGTTTCTTCTGTTGAGCTTGATCTCATGGATGATTTTCTTGAAATGGAGAGGCTTGCAGCCTCACCTGAGACAGAGAGTGGAAGCTGCCCTGAAACAGGAGCCTGGGGCGGGGAACAACATTTAAAAGCTGAACTGGACACCATGATTACTCGGACAGCTGAACTAGAAGAAAAGTTGGAGAAGGTGGAAGCGGATAAAGTAAATTTGGAAATGGCTCTAATGGAGTGCCAAAAACAACTTAAGACGTCCCAAGATCAACTAAAGGAGACTAAGTTGAAGTTGATGGATTTGGAAACTCTGCTTGCTATGGTAAATGAAGCAAAGAGAGCTGCTGAGCTACAAGTTGAGGCTGCCAATGAAAATCACACCAAATCAACAAAGCATTTAGAAGAAGCCAAGGTCAATCTGGTCGAACTTCAAAATCGGTTAATAGTTGCAAATGAGGAAGTTTGTGCGGTCAGGTCCGAACTTAAAACTAGCACTATGAAGAAACAAGAAGCTGAGTTACGAGTCAAAGATCTGGAACTTGAGTTGGAAACCTTGTATTCAAGCATTGGTGCTTTAGAAGAAGAGGTCAAAAAAGAACGAAGTGTTTCAGGGGAAGCTGTTTCGAGGTGTCAGACATTAGAAAAGGAGATTTCAAGAATGAAACTGGATTCTCAGCTTCAGAGATCGGTTGTCATTGAAGAGTTCAGAATCAATCAGGTTAGTTGCTCAAAACACTTTGTTGGTTTAAGTTCATAGTCGTTTAGTGCGTATACAATGCAGTGGTCTTATATTTGACAGAAAGCCTCGAATATATTCATCCGCAGTTTACCATCAGAATGAGTAACTTACACATAGCTATGTCAACAAGCCGAGCCCAAGCCCAAAAAAAAAAGGCTCGGCCCGAGCCGGCGCGATTATTTATTTATTTATTAATTTTTTTTCAACTATTTTAGCTTTAAAAAAAAATTTTAATTAATTACGGGGCGGCTCGGGCCAACCCCCCAAAATGGGGCTTGGCTCGAGCCGGGCCCGGCTCGGGCTTTTTCCGGGCCGAGCCCTAACCGTCCAAGCCGGCGAGCTTTTTGCCACCACTACTTACACATTCCTGATTTTTACCAATAAATTATTTATTTATTTATTTGAAAACTTGCTTACTTATAAGTAAATCTTTTAACTTGGCAAAACATGCTATCAATCATGTGTACTTATCATTGGTTTATTTGCTTTAAAAGTTCAACCATCAAACTTGTTGGTAACAATCCGGGGTAGCTCATATCATTGTTGACTCTTAAAAATAACTTCTTTGTCACTTTTTTTGTTCCAAGACCAATGGATTCTTACATGAAAGTAATTTTCTGTGTTTTCCTGATTCCCTTAATCGTGTCTTTAGTTTGGTAAAGTTGTGAAAATTCTGCATTATCTGAATCTGCCTCGCTGATCCCTCGATCCCATATGGTTTCTGCAGGATAAAGAGTTGGCAGTGGCTGCTAATAAGTTCACTGATTGTCAAAAGACAATTGCTTCTCTCAGTCGACAGCTAAAATCTCTTGCGACATTGGATGATTTCCTCATAGACTAATAGAGGCCAGTAGAGCTCCTTTGAAAGCAATCTTAAGTTGGTGCAGACCCGTTGACATTGCATTATATCCGAAGCTTCAGCTGTTATTAATGGATTATGTTGGAATAAGAATTGAGTGTTTAGATCAGATTTCGGATTTGTGATCAAAATTAAATTGCAGAAAAAAGATAAAGAGGATGACATTCAGAATCCAGGCAGGCAAAACACAAGTTTTCTTGTATGTACTCCAAAATATTCACATTTTTTTAACGGATACATGCACTTCTCTAATAGTGCTCTTTATTTTAAAGAGCATCTTAAAAAAATCTAAGAAATAAAGAGTAAGTTTTTTATAGAACACCATTTATATTTATTCATTAGTTTTCTTTTATTTTTCACAACAGTTTTACCTTACTTTTATCTATTCTATTATATCATTTTCACTTAATATTTCTTTATAAAACAAAGAAGTGCATAAAAAAGTTGCGACATATTGAATAAAAGCACTAAAATGTTTGTGCTTGTTTTCTAGTCAAGGACGAGCCCCACAAGGATCATTTACAGTAAATTCAAAACATGCAATGATTTCTTGCTTTATCTTGTGAGGACATTGTCGACAAGATTGTTTGCATATAATTTGTTTTATTTCTACTTGGACATGATAAACATAATTGACATTCTCAGTGTCTAAAATCCTGCAAAGTACTTGGTGAAGGTATTTTGGACTAATGCAGCAGCCTCTACTGCAGACTTTGTTAGCCAACTGATCCCTACTCTCAACCGGTGCTCATCCGTTGGAAATCTTGTCAAGCATGCAAATTTCCTAACTGCAAGATGGGGTCACACAATCAAATGAAATATCATAGGAAAAACTGCAATATTGCTCTTCAACCATGCAGCAAGTTGGTTCCCAACCTTCATAGCATGTTTGAGAGTAATTATATGTAGTGGGTATAATAAGTGGGATAGTAATTGTGGGTCCTAAAAAAGTGTCGAAAATAGTATGTTTAACTAGCTTAGTTTTCCAAACATGCACTTCAGTCTGAACAATTTGACTCCACTTTTTTCGCACCAGTAGCACTAGTGGACGGTATCCATCCAATTAGCAGATAAAATAGCATTTGGTCAAAAAGATAATTATACTTAAAACAAAAAATATGAATATAATTAGATAAACAGAAAAAAGGAAACAAAAGGTAAAGGAAAGGAAAGGAAAGGGAAAGGGAAAAAGAAAGCACGGCTGGGGGTGAGATGGGATGGGGTGGGGTTGGAGTAAAACCAGTGGGCATGGGAAAAGGGGAGGGTTGAGCCTTGAGGGAAGAGGGCGGGATAAAGTTTTTCATTTTCCTCTTTTTACAGTCTTTTCCTCTTCTATACATTTCTTGTTAAAGCTATGTTTATCTTTTTCTTGTTAAATGTGTTTAGCCATTTCACTCTGAAAACATAGCTCCACGTGCCTTGAATGGAAAATTGGTTGGAGACCAATGGTTACAATTTCTTCTATAGAATATAGCAAGGATCACTCTACCTGAATGGCCAATGGGACCCTCCAAAGTTATCCCCTCAAGGAAACTTGGTGAAACAGCACCATCATACCTCCCAAGAGTCATCATCTCACCTACATTCTGAAACCTGCAGGAATAAAACTCTGCTTAAGAACACGTGCAAAATGTTTCCCAGTAATGTAGTCATGATACAGTAAAACAAAGCAATATCTTTATATATAGAAAATACTTGCAATGTTGTGCATAGTGGGAGAGCTTTGATTGAATTTCAATGAAGAGCAAAATGTTTTCACTATATACATGCTTTTTTTTGCTAGAGAACATGCTACCTTGTGTCCTTTCTACCTATCCATTTCTCAAGTGATAAAGTACTAAAGTAATCTATTTCTAACCAGAAAGAATTAAGTTCATATTTCTTAACAGCACACGAACCCTAAAACATTATTATTAAAAAAAATAAAGACAACGTAAAAGATCAAAAATCTTGCATTGTAATTAAGATCTTACCTAAATGGTAGCAGAGGCCTGCCATTTATTGCTGCCCACAGATTCCAACCAACAAAATCTGCCTGCTGTAATGCTACCTGGAAAAAAAAAAAAAGCAGCTCAGGACCAATCAGTTTAGAGAAATTACCATACATATACTGAGCAGAACAGATGAAATCTTCCTTCCTCTAAGATTAAAGTATTAAACATTAATTGGTACCTGTGCAGTGGCTGGAAGCAAATTTCCATGTTTGTCTCTCAAAGCACAAGAGTCACCGACTGCAAATACACGCAGGTGACCCTTAACACGAAGTGTTTCATCTGTTTCTACTTGGCCCCTAGAATTAAGAGGAAGCATGTTGAGATTATCATTACGTTCTAACAGAGGAAGTTGAGGTTTAGTCCCAACAGTCCATAAAACTAAATCTACTTCCACAATTTGACTTTGCAAGCCCCTTTCAGCAGGCTGCAGCTCCAGTACTAGACTTTCAGGAGTACGAATTTCTGTTGCATCATAAGGAGCTTCTTTTGTGAGCTCATACGAAGTTCCAAACTCACCACCCTTTCTTAACCAACGGACAACATAACCTGGCAATAGTTGAACATTCCGAGATGAAAGAACCTGCCAATAAGAGGGATGCCACAAATGGGTGTCAGGAAAAAAATACGGAAGAATAAATCTGTCTCAAAATGGAAGCAAGGGCCTAAATCTTGGTCATGAAGGTTCCATTGTTGCATAAAAGCAACATTTTATCTGAAATTGAGTAATTATAAATATCACGCCTTACTTTTAATGCAGATTCCCTGTTACCAGGTGGAGCATTTGGCAAGATTTCTTTTCCAACATTAATTGCCTTTATAACTCCCCTATTTTGCAGCCTTTCTGATATTGTGGCAGCCAACTCAACTCCAGAGTAACCACATCCTACAACAGCAACACGAATTGGAAAGTCCTTGCCAAAGTATGTACGCTCCAATTCTCTTAGCTTCTCATTAACTTTCTGCATTACATGGTATCAACATATAGAGACAGTTATCATGATTGACATAACAACTTTACCAGAAGTAATGTTGACATAATATGAGCGTCCCCAGTTCAAATACTAACATGAGCATCCTCAAGGGTAGAAAATGGTAATGCATATTCCACTGCACCTGGTACAAGATCAAGTTTTGCTTCAGCTCCAAGTGCAAGTACCAACCTGGCTGCCCACATTAAAGGGACATAAAATCAACGGAAACCATTCAGAGTGCAAGAACCGCTCCATTTATATTCAACAAGATAAATATAATAGAGGAGCAAAAGTCAAATCCTCTAGATGTCATTGAATTTCATTTACGTTATGAGAAGTTAAGCCGTTATTTTCCTTTGGACATCTGAGGTGTAGAAGTATCTAAAATCTAAAACATAATAAAAGAAGCAAAAGAATGTGAAATGCACCTAAAAATATGGAAGCATTATTAGCATGCACATGTGAATAGATAATTATTCAAGTTTGAGAAGCAATCTAAAGAGAGAACAACAACAAAACTAAAAGCCTGATATATATGGCTCTCTTTATCCTCTATTCCCTGTTCTAACTTTGCGTTAGGGTTCCATATCTGAATAAGCATTTAACTAAAGTTCCTGGATGGCTGTTGACCACAACAATTTAGCCTAGATTTGGTACAAAATGATTGAAACAAGAATCGAAAGTTTCTCTCGCCAAAATTCACATGTAAATCTGTGTTCATAGGAAATAGTATGAACTCAGGGAACCAAGAAAAAAGGTATACCAATCATATTCAATAATGAGACCACTCTCTAAATGAACTACGCCTCCAGATGCAGTTACTGTAGCCCCATTCATTCCTAAATGGTCCGAGGGATGTAAGCATTTTACCCCGTCTCTAAAAAATTGCACACTGGTGTTTCCAAGAATGTCTGAGAATCGCGGAGCTATTTCCCATTCATCCACTTCTGCACGTAGAAAAAAAATATAGTAATGCATGAAGAAAATGAATTAAATATTGATTTAAAAGGACAGGAACAGTTTCCCCAACATACCTCCAGAGAGGAGTTCATATAACAATGGCTTAAATACAAAGCGCTCAGATTGGTCAACAAGAACCACCTGTTGCATCATCAATAAAAGTTGAATTTTCAAATTTACACTTTTAAAGATGTCAAAAATGTGGGTGAATAATAACATCATTCACAATTACATCTGTCTTTCTGTCACGAAGTTAATATTTGAATTTCCATTTTCCTCAGGACTCAAAAGCCATAGTAATAAGGTGTAGCTAAAATGAAACGCCAACGTTTCCAATATTTAATTATTCCTTTTTCATTTTTTTCTAGATATTATGTTGAGCATTTTTTTCCATTCCATTGTGTGCATTGTATCACTGGGAATATTGAAATCCAATAAGATAATTTCTTTGTTTGCTTTTCCTCTCACTCCCCCACAGGGGGTGGGCGACAAAGAGAGGGCTGGCATCTTGGTGCTATATAACTGCTTTGAACTTTGAAATTACAAATTACAACTAAATTGGAAAAATACATTCTCATCTTACTTGTCATTTTTGTCAACTGAGAACCTGTTAAATATGGAGACTTGCGGCTGCTAGCCAAGGTGTATTATGTAGGCGGGTAGGAACCCAATGTTCTATTACATGGGAGGACAAAATATCAATTTGCAAATTATTAGAAATATCATTTTAATCAAGTAAAAATAACATGAATAATGAACTTATCTATAATTAGATAATTATCAAGAATCTATATCCTAAATTAACATTCTAATCCCTAACATCTACCATCAGCCACAAGTTTTTCAACTTTTACAGTAAATATTTGAAGTAGCATATATTATCCATATCTTGTCCTATGAGACGGAGTTATCATTAAGAGAATGTAAATAGAACCCTCTTTTGGAATAGGTTCTAATGGGAATAGAACAAATAAACACTGAAATTATTTCCGGCTTATGACATGCAGGCAGTACAAGTTCAGGTAACCTTTAGTCACATCATGACATGCAAGACTGA